GGGGGAAGGCAATTTTAGTGCGTGCATATAAAAGAAAGTGTTTGGATTTATCATTATTACTATTTTGCATATCTTTTAAAATAAAGACTTTTTATTTTGATAAATTTATTAACCTCCTGTATCAATAATATACATACTATGGATTGATTATCACAAGATCAAGCAAAACAACATATATGAAATAACTGTTAATTAAAAAAACAATACCATATACCGTGTAAATTATATAACCACTGTTAACTACCTACCCATCACAGCCACTCTCGAGCTGTCCACGCCAAGCCTCTTCGCGTTCTGTATAATGTATTTCGTGGCAGTAACGCAGTCGTCAAGTGGAACAGGGAAACGGTGTTCAGGGGACAGTCTGTACCTGTTAGAACAGTTCAATATTCTATAAAATATCACACCCACTAATATATTCAGACTTTCACTATCTCCTTTAGGTATTTTTTAAGGTAGATTTCACTGTACGTATAGCAACTCGATAATGCTTGTATCATGACCTTTCTGCATCTTCTGTCCTGTCTTATGCAAGGTAATCTTTGCGGCTGTGTTATGACCGAAAACCATCGAAAATAGTGTGTATCTGAGAACATAATCACATATTATGAATGATACATTGCAGGAACATTTTTACATCGTGACTAATTCTGAGAACAAAAAGTGAAATAAGGTTTCAATATTTGCCCCTTTAACGACTGCCGACGTCTACTGAGTTTAGGTCCTCAGGACATTAGAATAGATATACTTACTCTACTGAAACCACGATCGCCTCGGTCTTGAGAGCCAGCTCTATGGTAAAGGCATGGTAGGCATCTATCAAATAAATGTAGTCTCCGAATTAGTATACAAATCCTGATAGACATATATGTCTTAGGATTGATAAGGTTTTCATATTATGAAAAATTGGAATTGAATCTGTTTCATTATAAAAAATTAGAACAAAATATGAGATATTCAAAAAGTAGAAATATTTCAGACCTATTTGCATTTCAAATGAGTTATTGAAGGTTTACAAATTTTAACGGTTCAGTTCCATTTGTGTGTCTAGGTTTATCTATGAATGGAGTCACTGACTGTATATATTTTCGTTTGGTGTACCTACATCTGTACTTGAAACACAACTGTCTATGTATTTCAATTAGTTGGATTTTGGTATGTTGATGATCCATGAACAATATCAGATGTGGTATTAATATTCATTGTGACTTACCGACACTAAGTAGAGCCCACCCCCCGCCGTGGATATGTACGACACCGGGAAGTAATGTCTTGGTGCTTGTCGGCTTATATACCCGCACAGGTACTCCGTCAAACGTCTCATCTGTTACCTAAGTCAAGGCGTTCAGATATCTCAATGTAAACTTAAAACTTAACCATGGCATAAATAATACGAATATGTCTTGTAAATGTTGTCAAAACTGCAATTGCTATACGAGGGCATTCTCCGCCTTACTTTAAGATAAGATATTAACAATACATTACTAATAGATATTTTAGATTATATAGAAAAATCTGAAGGTTTTAACTGTATTGTACCACAAATTACATTAGGTATCATTGATTTCCTGCAATTCTAGTATAATTGGTTAATATGGCACTGTGTACAGTGACAGTGCCCTAACCAAACACTAGATCTACCATGTTAAAACCTCTGATATTCCAATGCTAATCTCTATGCATATATATATATATAACTGGCTTATTGGTTCGGCCTACCCTAAATTGTATCTACCTCAACTTAGTATATTAATCTTTAATTTACATGCAGTACATGTATATGTTTGAATGTTTGTCTTTCTACATGGAAAGGGCTTTTATAAGCAATGTTTATGCCCAATCCAATTGCTAATTGCAACAATAACATTATTTGGAAATGAAAAAGATAGTTAAGCATGCATATACGATTTAATACAAACATCGTCAATAGGCTGTTTTTCATTCACATCCGTACGATGTTTGGAACATGTTTTAATATAAGAAATGATGCGTTCATTGTCAATAAAGAGGTTTATGTTCTTACCTGTACTTTTTGCCGGATGTCTGACTGCAGTGAGGCAGTGTTGAGGTGTTTTATACTTTCACTCAGAACACGCGTTATGTTAACAGATGACGCTATTCCAAGGAGCTGGCCCAGAAAACTCTGTCAGCGTGGAATACAAATGATATAATCAGGTGTTAACTATTAAAAGTTCACAATCAATAATATCAATACGAGCCTGCGTTTTCTACAGGATAGCTGAAACTCCACATTGGTAATGCACCATGATCTTCAATATCGCATTATTTATGGGATGACATATCTATTTTATAAACATTGGATTATTTGATAAGAAGAATATAAGCATGCCATATTTAGTAATATTGTTTTGGATTGAACAATTATATGAGACCTGATAACGACTATGGGTTTTGCTGCGGGTAAGTTATGCTATTTTGTTTTGTTGTCATCGCAATTTCCGTATCAGCGTTTAATTTCGATTGCGCCCTTGTATTAATATTTACTTATAGTTTCATATCACAACCACAAGGCATAATGAGCATATGGAAATAATTGACGTTCATAACACAAACACACACAATATATATAAACAATATTCCTATTTGGCATTTTTTTTTCTCACAAAGAATTTTAAAAACAAAAAAGGCAACTTTTCCACACTAAAGCATGGCAGATACGCTTACCAAGTCGTTGATAATTCTAACAGAAGCTGACGTAATTCTTTGTTTCCATGGTTCCGCAGCTTCGTTCGGGAATGGGGTATGAAGATAGAATGCCAGTGTAATGAGGATGCCTCCCCACAACAGGTACGTATTCCGGCTGATTCCGGCCATCTTAGATGCTCCGGACAATCGGATCTCTACCAACGCCCTGGTCAAGAGCTGCACGCTAGCGTGACCTGGTATTACATAAGAATATTATTCCATTACATTTCATTTTGTTTCTTTACTTAACATTAGTTAATTATACAATATCAATGCCTTGTTGTGCTTGAATGATCTGTTAATTTGCTAAGATTTATTTATCTAATAACATCTTTAATAACAAGCGTGAAAAGGCGTTAAACCGGTTTAATATACTCCCACTTCTTTCTTTTTCTTTCTAGTACAAAGATGTTTATGTGATGACTGCAGGGAGATACGCAACATCAACGTGGGTGCACTGTTCGAGATTAACTACATTTTAATAAAGTATGCCAAAAGCGGGGGCCGCCTAAAACTTGTGTGTCTAATCATCCCACACCCGTCAGCTGTAAGTATGTACTGCACTAACTGTACGGAAACACTGTGCCTCTGGGGAGTTCGTCATCGTTTTAAAGATTAATAAAGTCTATCATATGTAGGCAAGGGAAACATGGAATTTCTGCCCAAACGTTAGAAATTGGATCAAAATCGAGGTTTCAAAGCTTCGAAAACATGTATAATCATCGTCTATTTATGTGTCATGATATGTCAGGGATATATTTTTTAATCGACTTTGACTTTGAGAAACGATAATGTAATTACTCGAAGATAAAACAAAAACTAACCAAGATATGCTTTAAAAGAACATTTACGGTATGAGCCAACAAGGAACTGTGCATTTCAAACTGAAAAGATTTTTTTTTT